TCGGTATTTCTTACTGATGCCTGTGATAGCACTGGTTCTAGAGTAGGTTCACACAATTGGCATCTGCTCATCCTGATAGTTAAGTTCCTATCTTTAGTTGGAAAATGTTTACATAACGACTGTAGACAGGGGGTCTGGAGATGTGAGGAAGGAAAGCACTGGGCTGCATCAGCCAGCATTACACTTGCTTCTGAATGGTAGAATGTCCAGCTGAAGCCAGGCAGAAGTTACCTTTATCTCATGTAAACACCTGTCTGTCGATGTTCCACCATGGGACTGGCTCTCCGTGGGAAGAACTTTAGCTCTGTATGTTCTCTGACGTCTCTCCTGTCAAAGTCAGTGTTACGGTACAGATGGCCCCAGCTCTGGCCATTGGGCCTGTGTCTCATCAGTGAGAAAGAAAAAAGACAACGCAAGGCTCACACCCTCTGTCTTTAGGGACCTTCTCAGATGTTGCTATCATGTACATCCCAAAGCTAGATCTGAGTCTTTTACATCCCAAGGCTGGATCTAGACCATCTGAGGATGGTGTAGGTTATTGTCCTTATACAAGCCAGCTGTGAACTCAATTATAAACCAGCCTCCTGCTGCTGGCTGTTAGGTGCCCAAGGCTCACCAGCATTCCCGAGGAAAGACTGTGAAATGGTTGTGAGATTTATGTCAAATAACCAGGCAATTGGAGGGGGATCAATAGAAAAGAATGTAGTTTCCCACATCTTCTAAAGTTTGTATAAAGTTTTAGGACAGCGGTGAGCCCCGTGAGGGTGCTGGGAAATGAACGCTGGCCCTCTGCAAGAACAGAAAGTGCTCCTATCCACTATGCCACCTCGCCAGCTCCCTGTACAAAGCTTTAGGGAGAATTTAAGGAATGCAAACTTCCTAGAAAAAGAGTGAATTTGCAGGAGAGACCTGCCACTGACTGACAGTGACAGATTTGATTGGTCAGAACGGAATGGCCCTCGGTAGGGCTTCGTTTGTGGGGTTTCTGAATGGAAACGTGTCTAGATTCATTCTATTGTTTACACTGTGCATAGGTTTAATATTGTGTTCATTTAAAAAGTGCTGAGGCAAATAGCCTTTCACATGCAATGTTTTTTTCAAGACTGGGTTTCTCTGTAGCTTTGGAGCCTGTCCTGGAAATCGCTTTGTAGACCAGGTTGGCCTCAAACTCACAGAGATCCACCTGCCTCTGCCTCCTGAGTGCTGGAAATTAAGGCCTGTGCCACCACCCGGCTTTCACATGTACCTTTAAAGCGACTGGAATTGCTTGTAGATGAATGAATATATGACCAAGGGGCAAGTGTTTGTGAGCAACAGTGTTTTATGAAGATGGCCGGAAAGTGCGACAGCAGTTACTCTCCTATGCTGCTTAATTTCAAATTTAACTTTAAACTTGGACACAGGAAACAGCAGTGCAGGGCTGGCTAAACACTACAGGTCCTAAGTGCTTGGGAAGAAGGAGGGCTTTGGATTTGGGTTTTCTTTTCTGATATGGGAGTATTTGTATGCACAATGAGATCTTAGGAATGAGTCTAACCACAAAGTCTGTTCTTGTTCATACACAGTGTATAAGGACAGGCTAAAGGTGATTTTGTGCATCTGCATTTTGACTGTAGCCTTTCACTTGAGTTCAAGTGTCAAATTCTCATGTGTCAAACATCATGTGTTCTCTCCAAAAGTTTCAGGTTTTGGAGCACTTCAAACTTTGGGGTAGGGACAGTCTACCTGTATTAGCCACTGTTTTATTGTTGTGAAGAAACGCCATGACCAAGGAACTCTTAGAAAAGAAAGCATTTAACTGGGGGGGGGGTTGCTGACAGTTTCAGAGGTTTAGTCTGTCCATTGCCATTGTAGCAAGGAGTGTGGTGGCAGACATGGCACTGGAGTGGTAGCTGACAGCTATATCCTGATCCACAGAGAGACAGAGGGGGGAGGGAGAGAGAGAGAGAGAGAAGGAGGGGGAGGGGGAGAGGGAGAGGGAGAGAGAGGGGGGGAAGAGAGAGAGAGAGAGAGAGAGAGAGAAGGAGAGGGAGGGGGAGAGGGAGAGAGAGGGAGAGAGAGGGAGACTTGGCCTGGTTTGAGCTTCTGAAACCTCAAAGCCCACCCTCACTGACACACCTCCTCCAACAAGGCCACACCTCGTAATAGTGCTATTTCCTATGAGCCCATCAAGACACAAGTGAATGTGAACCCATCTAAGCCTCTAGATGTCAACTTGTAGGAACAGAAGGACCGGTGAAAAGGTCCGAGGAGGTGTATTCAGTGACTCCAGCATATTAGCAGAGTTTCTCCTATAGATATAAGGAAACAAAGTGAAGAGGCAGGACACTTGTCCAACTTGATTTGATTGTGTGTCTGCCTCTGGTATACTTATCCAGAGTCACAGGGCCATGCAGGGTACCACATTAAGACCGAATGATGTGTGTTGATGTGTTACATCCTTGAACAGACTGTTAGCCACGAGTTAAACTTCAGAACTAATCATTTCCCCTATGATATTATTCTGCTTTCATATGCAACTTGAGTGTGGAGGCCAAAGGAATATCTCTGAGGCCATTTGGCCAATGATTTGGGGGGGGGGTCAGAGAGGCAGGTGGAAGAGTCAAGCATGGAGGAGAGGGAGAGTTGGGGGGGCTGTGCATGTCTTCTGTGCATTTTGGGGTTGTTACACTGAACTGCTGCTTAAAGATGTCTGGGGAACATGCGTAGAAATTTCCCTGACCTGAGCATTCCCTATGTCCCCCCACTTCCACTCCCAAACCCTCTCCACCATTCACAGCTTTGTACACCGTCCATCCTGCCCTTATTTGGAACATCCTACTCCAGAAAGTGTCCCCTTGCCATGGTTTGTGTTCTGCAGTTTGCACTTTGATTCTTTTGCTAATAAACTATGTCCTCTAGGACTCACACATAGGAAACTGGACCCCTCAATGGTGTTGGGAGGTGGTGTCTTTGTGGGGTAATTGGGGCATGAGGATAGGCTCTTGTGAGTGGTGGGCTAGTCCACTAGTAGATTAATGCTTCAAAGGGCTATCAAGGGAGTGGTTTGCTATGGAGTGACCATTCTGTATATGCTTGTTCACATAGGTTTGCCATTTAGGATGCAAGGGGAGTCCCTCATCAGACACCATGCAGATGTCAATGTCAGGTTCGTGAACTTTCTAGCTCCAGAACCGAGAGCCAATAAACTTAAATTCTTTGTTTCCAAGTTTCCAGTATTTTGTTATAGCAACAAAAAATGAACTAAGACTCTATACAACTTATCTTGTGTGCCCCAGCTTCAGTATTTTGTGGAATAGTCTAGAGGAAGCTCTAGAACCTCTGTCTGAAGGGAAAAGGCCACTTTCAGTACCTGGCATTTGGAGATGCCAGGAATGAGGCCAGTTCACAGTGCCCACCTACTGGGTTTGACCCTTCTCGAAGCCAGTAGAAGCATATGGTGAGGCCACATACACAGCATCTGACTTGTGAGGAATTTGCTGCCCACAGAAGAAGGAACAATATGCCTCTCTGGGGCCAGCAGTCAAAGGCCAGGCAAGCCTGTGGGAGGCAAACAACTCAGGCTATAAAGTTCTTTTCTTGGTTTGGAGTCTTACCAGGGGTAACACAGAGTAGATGAGCATCATGGTCCCCTAAGGCCCTATGTGCCCAGGCTGGTGTCTATCTGAGTGGCTCTAGCCTATCCAGTGGTCTGTCTGCCTCTAGGCCCTGGGCCATTTACATGGTCTATATCTGTATACATATCTGGACCCAGATACAAGCAGCTGAGTGTCCCCATCACTCTATAGGAAGCTTATGGATTGTGACTTCTGAAGTTTGTAGAACCGCTAGGGTAGTTACCTGCCCTTCTTTGCACTTCTAAACTGATCTCTGTCACACCTTTGAACACAAGCATGCCCTCTGACTTCCTCAGCCTTGATGGCTTGACACAAATCTCATATCTTTGTCTTGACATAAATGTTTTCCATATCCTAACATTTGAGCCTCTCTGCACCCCCACCTTTTCACACGACCCTTCCCTAGTCGGAACATAAGTCCCCCTCCCACGCTGTGAAAAGGAGCTTGTTAGAAACACCGAGTGAACGAAAACAAACAAACAAACAAACCAGGCAGTGGTGGCACATGCCTTTAACCCCAGCACTCAGGAGGCAGAGGCAGGTGGATCTCTGTGAGCTTGAGGCCAGTCTGGTCTACAGAGGGAGTTCCAGCCAGAGCTCTTACACAGTGAAAGTTTATATCAAAAAACAAACAAACAAACAAACAAACAAAAAAAGGAAGAAAGAAACAGTGAAGACTCATGGGACTGGGCCATGGTGACCCACAATAAAGAGAGCTCAGTGAGTCCATGGTGTAGCTGACCCAGGAGCTGCCAAATGAGAAGGGGCCGAGGAGGGTGAGAGTCCAGACATGGAAGAACAATGATAGGTCCGCATGGGCTTTTGGATGCAGACGCCGGCACAGGGAAATGCTGACGATTCTGAGGGAGGTCCTGCACTTGCTTTGATGACAAAGCAGCTTCATATTCCTTCTGAGGATAGGCCTGAGAGCCATGGGAAGGGATGAGAAGCCTTTAGCAGAATTATGACGGGTTAGAGGAGTAACTGCAGAGCAGTCTGGCCTATGTGCTGTCTGAAGTCTCTGAATATAGAAATTCTACCGTTTCCCCCATAGTGCCTTGCTGATGGGGCCACCTCTTTGCTCCCACCCCAGGTCTGTGAGTCAGCCGCACGTGTCCTTGGCTTCCTAGGTGGTCCTGGCACAAAAGAAGTGGACTCCTGAACTCACCTGCCTTCAGAACTGGTTCAGAGTGTCTGCTTGTTGGAAGTGAGATAAAAGCCAGTGTCTTCCTCATTCTCTGAGTATGGACATCCTAAATGAGATCATTTACGAAGCGTTCGTGGCCTCGGGCTTTCTGTCTAGGGCAGGGATGGTTACCCTAACAGTCACCTTTAATGACTGCCTGAAGCCAATGGAACCCGAGGAAGCATGACAACTGCTGATGTCACAATGCCTCGCCCACTGTGGATGCCTGGTTACTGGGCCATCTCAGGGAAGCAGTAAGACCATGGCTGGCTGCAACAATCAAAGGACAACAGGGGACCTGGGATCCAGAGGTCAGGGGACTGCAGGCTATTAAAAAATAATCCCTGGGCTAGGAAGCAGCCAAGAGATCCAGACAAGGATGTGGAACTCCAGAAACCTCTCAGGTACCGTAGGCTGGGCCCTCCTCCCAAGTCAGATACCTGTGTTGACGAAGCGGGAAGTCTAAGTGCAAAGTCAAAGCACATACCCGAATTCTAGGGGTCATGCCCTTTTCAGAAGGACAATTCTTCCACTTGATTAAAGGGGTTCAAGTTCTCAGCATTCCTTACCTTCTCCAGTTCACAGGTCCACGTCAGCCTGTCACCACTGGGACTCTACCCAACACATGCTGATGTTTAAGGTCGGCCCCTGTTCTCAGGACTTTAGCTGTTGCAGAGGCTTGAGGCTGGAAGTTCATGAAAGAGAGCCAGATGTGGTGGCGCACACCTTTAATCCCAGCAGCACAGGCAGCGGATCTCTCAGTTCCAAGCCATCTGATCTGCATAAGGAGTTCTAGGCCACTCAGGGCTTCATACCAGACCTTGTCTGCAAAACAAAATGTCTTGTACAGTCAGGGTCAACAACTGCATGTAAACATAAGTACAAAACAACCCAAAATACACACACAAAAAAAATGTGTGTGTGCATGGCCCATGGAAAAATACTGTTTTTCTATTCATTTTAAAGTTTTTGGCTAGAATACAAAGAGATGGGTTTATAATGACACTCTCATACACACACATCTACCTCTACATCTGTACAATTACATGGATATCTCATTACACGTTATTGTTACTTGGAGAGGAATATACTGTCATGTTCTCACAGGTGCATGACAAAATGCGAACCAAAAAAAAAATGTTCAACCGAGCCTGGTTCATGTCCTATTACTAAGTATCTGTAAGGCTAGACATGGGGCTGCACATTGGTAATCCCAACACTCTGGAGGCCGAGGCAGGAGGACTGCCATGAATTTGAGGCCAGTCTTGGCAACATGGTGAGTTCAAGGCCAGTCAGAGTTACACAGAGTTTGAGGCCAGTCTGAGCTACATAGTAGGGAATACCATCTAATCCCCTACCCCCCTCAAGATAAAGAATCTATAAGAAAAATTAAGAGCCGGCCACACATCCAAGAGACTTGCTTCAAAGGAGTAATTAATATTCAAGTTGCTTATTTAGAAATAAATCAGAGCAAGGATTAAAAAGCAACAGTAAATCAAACGGGAAAAATTACTGAGAAACCTTATGAGTAACGAGGCTCCTTAATTTGTAGATCAGGATAGGAAAAGATGAGGGAGAAAAGACTCCCATCCAGGTAGATGAGGAGACTGGACTTGGGCTAGGTGAAGACAGAGCCTTGCTTGCACCCTATTTCAGGGCAGTGTGTGAGAGGTTCAGAGCCTCTGGTCCCCCCCCCCCAAGCCAGCTCTCCAGGTTGACAGCTTCTGTTTGTGCACACTTGAGCTGTGCTGAGTTAGCATGGTGAGAAGAGTGGGAAGTGGAGCTAACCAAAAGCCCAGGAAGTCAGAGCTCTGAGTTCAAATTCAGATGCTGCAGCTTGCCTGGGAGATGCCCCTAACTAGCCTGGGGCATCTTCCCTGCAGCCTTCCATCTTTCTTCCTGCCTGGAGATGTAGTTCCAGAGTACCACGTACATGCTTAAACCATTGGGGAGTGCTAAGCCTCCTGTTCTGGGACCAGTGCTGGGCAGGAAGAGGCCTATCTTCTTAAACACAGAACAATCTGTGGCTCTTCTGAGACCTACCCCTCCCCAAGTGCAGCGATTCTGAGGTCTTCTGTGCTGCCAGCATCTGGGGTTGTGACCTTAGTGGATGGTCTTGGGGTTCTTGCCTCTTCTCTTAGCAAATGGGCTAGGTGTGTGTGTGTGTGTGTGTGTGTGTGTGTGTGTGTGTGTGTGTTACTGTGTGTATTTCAGTATGTGTGTGAATATGGGAGTTCTCTGCTGTCTGTATGTGAGCATGAGTGTGGTATGTGTTGGGGTCTGCCTGTATGTATTTCTGTTCTGTATCTCTGTGTATTTGTTGCATATTTCTAGGTGTGTATCCATGGTCATGTGTATCAGGCTGTTGTTGTGTATGCTGGTATGCCTGTGTGTGCCCATCTGTGCTTTTTCAAAATAGTTCTGGAGGTTGCATGCTAGGAAAGTGTTCTCCTGCCTAGCTGAATCCTCAGTTCATCTTTATCTTCTGTTTTTTACAGTCCCACTAAGTTAGGTAGGTATCTTTAAACTCACACTGTAGTTCCCTCAGGCCTTGAATTTGCAATCTTTCTTCCCCAGCCTCCAGAGTAGTTGGGATCCCAGACCTGGGCCTTTCTGCATTTTCCAGGGCCCTCAATGGTTGTGCTCTCTGTTTTAGTAGCAGCCTGCTGTCAGCTAGGCCCTGAGGATGGACAGCCACCAGCATGGAACCTTGATGACTGTGGGAAAGCTATAGGATGGTATAGCCACCCATTAGTGGGTTTGGGACAGAGAGCAAGGGGGGGGGGGAATGGAAGGAAAGCTTATAATTAAGAGAATGTTTTAGAGGTGACACTTGGGGATGTCTGAGTGGAAAGGAGGTGAGCAATGGAGAGGGACAGAAATGTTGCTGAGAAAGAGAGGGAAGGGTGCTGGGAGAAGGTGAGGATCCTGAGTCAAGCGTGCAGGGAAAGGACACAGGAAATGGATGCTGATAGCTCCTCCTCTGCCCAGGACCTGTTCTTCAACCACAGTTGGTTGATTCCATATTAGGACCATAGGGCTGCCACTCAGGATAGTTTCCAGTATCCCAACAGTATAGGAAGGGGCAGAAAACCGTTTAGCAAAGCAGCCAGTGCTTCAGAGGGCTGATAGCCCAAAGCACATGTGTGTGAATGTTCACTTCCTTCTGGGTACCAATAACCAAGCTTAGGCCAGGAGGTGGCCTTCACCTTTGAAAGGCTCAAGAGCTATTTGGGACACAGAGGATCAATACTTTAAAACCTGTAGACTTGTCTGGCGTGGGACCTTCACTGCATCCCGCACCCCCCCCCCCATTTCATCTCTGTTTTATCCCTCTCCGGAAGCTCATAGGCATGTCACTAGAAAAGAATGAGGCCAGAGAGGACAGTATCTTCCTTGCCTAAGGTCACATAGCTGGTAAATACTAGAATCGGGACTTGAATCCAGCACCATCTGACACCAGTATCCCAGCAGGGAGTTTCTATGCCATATCTTGATAGCCTGCGTTCTGACCTCTGACCTTGGCATCTTTAACCTTGAAATATGTCTTGGCCTGTCCTCTTCTGACTCTCTCACTTGTACAAGCCAGCCAACCTTGCGACTCAGCCTAGACTTTTCTCTGGCTACCACTCCTAGCTGGACGCCAGTCCTAGTTTTCCTCAGGCCACTCATATGTCTCCTAAACAGAACAGTTTAGGAAGCGGGAGCAGGACATGGATACAAAGGTTCGGAAGGAGGTGTTTCAAGGTGGAGTGGGCAGCGTGGCTTCTGACGGGCTGTAGTCACTGGTGGCAGGGGACCTCACTGTGTGGGAGACAACTGGAGAACTTAGAGGTGGGACTGTGTGGAATGTACTGGGAGGTCACTGAGCAGAGCATGCAGAAAAGCAGGGCCAAGTTCTAGCAAGTGCCTGGTTGAAGCCAGACAGCAGGAATGCAAAGCTGGCCAGGCCCATGCTTGCAAAATATTTGCCTACTTAGATTCAGTTTTTATTGTTTATTTCTAAAATAAATATTTGCTTTGTAATTGTAAAGTTTTTAGGAACATGGAAAAGAATGACTTTGTTCGAGGTATAGAAATATACCTTGCATGTCATGGTCTGCACCCTTGAGCGTGCAGGCATCTATGGCCCATCTGAAGTCTTTCTAGTCACACCCCCAAAGACCTGGGTCCTCAACCTGGGTCCTCCTCATCTGTGGCCATACCTGGTCCCCTCCCCTCTATCCCAGGACCTCAGACAGATGCTAATGAGGCTAGCCAACCACACCGACTCCCATTCCCAACCCTGTAACCCTGTCCTGTCACTCTGCAACTGTCCAAGCGTCCTGTATAACAGTAGCTTTTCTATAGTCTTTCATCTCTCTCCTCTTAGCGAGTTTGTTTCATCCTGTCCACCCCCACTCTTTCCACCTGCTCTGCCATCCTGGTATTTGTAAAAGGAAGACATTTTAAATTAAATATGTGGACCAGCAAGAAGGCTTGGAAGGCTAACGCACTTGTTGCAAAGTCACTTGACTTGTATTTGATGGCTGGGATCAAAGTGACTCCTGTGTTCTTTGACTTTCTCATAGGCTCATTTACTGTTACTGAGTTGGGGCTAATCTGTGTCTTAAGGTCTAGGAGAATGAAGCAGGACAAGAAGCTAAGACAGGTGTTTAACATATTGCCTTCATACTGATAGTCAAGTGATGTAAAAGCATTTCTTGATAGCACGAGTCTTTGCCCACAGCTCTGTGGTGCCTTTAGAGCTGGTGTGTCTTCTGGGTTCTCTGTTCAGTGACCTCTGTCTATTTTCCTGCTCTGATATGTCACTAATTATCACAGCCTTGGAGCAGAGTGTGAAAGCCATGTGCAAGTTCACCCCCATCACCTTCTCTAGTCTTTGCTTTTGCCATGGTCATAAAAAGTCTAAATAAGTTTATCACTTTTTCATACCCCAGTGTGATTTTGTATGGGGTTGCATTGAATCTATGGGCCACGTGTAGAAGAAATGACATTGTTTTATAATTGCTGTTGTGTTCTTACAATGAACATGACCCATCTCTCTATTGAGATCTTATTTTTTGTTCTTGTTTTAAATTTAATTTTACTACAGTTTTTGAGTGCCACACTATCATTGAATTTCTTTTTAGAAATTTCATTTTCTTTTTTGTTGGTGGAAATAGAAAAAAATCAAGCATTTTTAGGTATGTGGACCTTATGTCTGCTAGCCTTGCTGAACTCAGTAATTCCATTTATAGATTATTTTGCATTTCTGCACAAACAATTATAGCGCAAAAGTTAAAAACCCCAGTTTAGAATCAGGGTGTCCTGGGTTTGAGTTTTAATCTTGTTTACTAAACATACCACTTGAAGGGTATGTCTTAAAAAAAATGTGACTTATAGTGAAGTCTGAATGGGATGA